ACTAACTAAAAATTTTTATAAATATGTATAAGAAAATGAAAGAGTTGAAAATTCAAAAAGGAAAAAGCAATAAGTGAATTGTAATTATATTGAACTACTTAATTCACTTATCTTATTAAATGAATCTAAGAAGAGTTCTATTGTTCGATTTAATCTAAGAGTTTTGACTTCGACAAATTCATAAAATTAGATTTAATTTTAAAGTTTGATTGTTATTATGATAAAAATTGCAAAGAAAACTGTTGTATTATCAATAACTTTTAATAATAAATTATCAGTGTTATTATTTAAAAGATTAAGTTTTAAGTTACAATTTTATATAAAATTCAAATTGTATAAAAACTTCAAGTTTTCTCATACTTTGCACAAGTCATAAAATATTTTTCTGTATCATTATTTTTGATAGAAAATCAGTTTAACTTAAGAAAAACATCATTATATTCTCTCACTATGAATCAGATTTTTGTCTATATGATTTCTCATAGAACTAATAAAGATTTCAATTGTCTATCAAAGAATGAGATGATGCTTTTTTTGTTTATTATTTTACTATTTGACATCCTTACTTGTTCGTGTAAATATTTCAAATATTGACCAAGTAAAAGTGGATCTGAATATTTTCTCATATGTTCTGGAAAAAATTTACATAATAAACCAAGAAATGCTAAACAAAGTCCTTTAACTAAATATGAAAAATAAAACAGAAACTCTTAATTTATGTTTCTATTATTAAATAATCAATTAACTTGTTGCTGCTGCTTTTGAACTTTGAAGACCAATCTGATCTAGAAAAGTTGTAGCCATTTTGTCGACTTCATTTTGCATATCTGAAGAACCCGCACTTAATTCCATTAACTAAATTAAGTAATCTTATATAAGAATCACAAAAATCTTCAATATTTACTTGTGATAAAACAGGAAATATAGATGCTCTGACATCAGATGCATTATCAACATTGAAAATCGTTAGAAGAACTGTTTTAAGTTCAACAGCATGTGGTAAAATTTTTACACCAGCACTTTCAACAAAAAATTTAAGAAATTGTAATATTTCAACTTTAGTTTTTTTTAACTAGAAAAATTAATATTTAAGAAATTGACTTTTCTTGTTTTATTCTATTAAAAATATATTTATTACTTCAGTTTTTGAACATGAACGTCGAAGAAATGTTAGAATATTCTTTTGACCACAAAATAAAGCGGATAAACACATAGCTTAAAATTTAAAATTTAAAAATAAAAATAAAACTTAATTAGATTTATTTTATTGTTTCGTGTTATATTCATCACCTGTTTGCATTGGTGATGGATGTTCAGAATAAGCTTGAGCAAGATCAGCAATAATTGTTGATGATTGTTCATCAACATCTGATATATCACGAAGGCGATCAAGATTTTCATGTAATTCAACAATATAATTATCAAAATTAGAAGCCGATGAACTATCAGTCATTTTCTTTTGTTTTATTATACTAACATATTTTCAGGCAGAAAACCACCTTTTTGACAAAATGGTATTATTGGTTGATTGTGCAATAACATAAAAGAACGAATAAAAAAACTCTCGACAACCTCTTTGATATATATTTATTTGTCTAGAATTTATAGAGGATAGAACTAAGCAAAATTATTCTTTTAAAATCGACTAATGTCGTAACAATAAACGATCAATTTAATTATTATGAATAAAAAAAAAGAGTTAATGACAAGAAAAATTCAATTTCAAGTTGTCTATTCATCAAGTGCTGATGAACAACATCCAGCTAATGAATTACATCATCATGGACCATTTGTAAATGGTTGGCAAAGTAGTCGACTTTGTTCATATCCACAGGAACTTGTTCTTCAATTTGAAAATCATGTACGTTTAAAACGTGTTCAATTACTTTCTCATCAATATTTAATTGGTAATTTTATTTTTATTTTTCAAAATTTTTCTTAAAATAATTTATTTGATTCATTAAAGCATCAAAAATTGAATTTCTTATCGGCGATTGTTCATCAGATGAAAACATGAAACATGATAATGCACGTTATACTCGTTTAGGGTAAAGAAATTAAATCTGAATTCGTTTTGAAAAGTTATATTTTTCAATCTTTTTTTTTTTTTTCTAGTTATATTGAATTATCAAGTAATGAACGAACAGATTTTAAATCGCGTGAACTTAAATCAATACATGTCGATGCTGATGGTTTATTTTTAAAATTAATTATACATAAAAATTATATAAATCGACATAATGTACATAATCAAGTAAGTAGAATATATTAAAATAATTTTTTTTTTTCAATAATTTTATATATTAGGTAAGCATTGTTGCAATTAATCTACTCGGTAATGATATTGACAAGGTAAGAAAAATTTTATCTATATTCTTTTTAAACAAAATCAACTTGTAGAAGTTAATAAGAAAGTCTTTTTTTACTAAAGTTGATCCCAGATGAAGGTCAAATCATGACACTTTCTATCCATGGAGAATTTTCGTTTTCTCCATCGATACCTCCTTTTTGCGTTCTGTTAAAAAGACATTATTTACATTCTTCCAAAAATTGTTATAATCATATCTATACAATGTTGAGTGTTGTTTTGAGTCATTGATAATTTCATCAATGAACTATTTAAAGAAATGAGATCTAAGTCAAAACTTTGCGATAAAATATAATGTATACGAAAGTCTTGTATAAAGATTTTTATTGAGCGTGAGGATGGTACTTCTTCGACAATCGAGTTGGCCTTCCAGAAGTTTATAGTTACTGTATCTTGTGTCTATGTTCTTAAAAATACGTATTCGCTCTCCCAGAGTTTTATATCGTCGGAATAAAACTTTTTTCTGCTGCTAACTTCAGCACTTAGCAAACAATCGAATTTTTCACTAGTATAGATTTCTTTCGTATGTGAAACTCAGATTTTGATTTAGATAGATATGCGCATTCATTTCCATCTGCTATGAGCATAATATAATGAAAGAAGCGACATCTATTGAATTCTTATTGATTACACAATGTAGGTTTAAATTTTAGTTGCATGAAAATCATGATGATCAATTAAATTCGAATTCAAATAGGTAAATGAACAAATTTAAAATTGTTCTTTTTTTATTTTTCATTTAATATGATTTTATAAGATCGGATCAAATATCAATAGTTGATGATCTAGCATTTGCGATGTATCAAGATCCTGAAATAGCTGCGATTATTAAAAATTTAGATCGTAAAAAACAAGAATATGTACATGGTAAAATGGAATAATTATTCTCATAATTTTTTTTATTGATTATTATAAATATTTAGATGAAAATTTTGATCAAGCTCGAAAATCTAAACAAGCAATACAAGAACTAATTAACGTATTTTGAAAATTATTGAATAATAAACAATTTCAATTTTTGTTTTATTCAGATTGGTGAACGACTTGCTCGATATGAAGTTGAAAAACGACAAGCTATTGAAGTATGATAAAAAAAGAAAATGCAAACAGATAATCTATCATGGAGAAAGCGGATTTTAGATTAATAAAATCAATCATGAAATATGATATACGTAGGATAAAATCTTATTTTCTTTTCATTTGAAAAGGTGAAATCAAAATAATGAATTTGATTATAAACCTAAGTCATTTAGGTTGAGCAAATATCATTAGTAGTACGAACAAAAATGCCACATGGGAAGATTTTGATGTAACCCTACGGAATAGAATTAAATAATTAAAAGGACAGGGATTTTCTATTATGTCCTGTGCGTCGTTTCTCTCCAACATGATTAGATGTTATTGAAAAAGTCCTTTAAGTTTATATGTAGGTTATTAAGTGCAAAAGAATAATAAGTATTCATTTGTAAATTTTAAATACTTGAAATTATAGTAAGAAGAAATCAAGAAATAATTTTTTGACAGCTAAATCAAAGTCTCGTGGAAATAACTGAGATGAGAATATTACAAACGCTCAAACAATGTTTTGTATCTATTAGAATAGATCTGAAATTGATTCACCGCACTTTTAAGCTCATATTGCGGACATGTACAAAAGATTTCTCAACTAAATTAGTTCTAAAGGGATTCAAAGTCGTGGACCTTCTCTAGAGAATTACAATAGTGTTGCTGATTTTTTACCAATAAGATCGAATGTTAGCAAGAAAATAAAACAGTGAACTTCATATCTAAAATTTTACGGTATATATAGATCTTATGATTCTGAAAAATTTCAGTGAAAATGAATATCTCCAAAAAGCAAGTAAAAGTTCGATAAAAATATCATAACTTCGTAGGAAAATTCTATAGATCTAAATATCTTATTCTAATATTTCTTTCTGCATGCTCAAATTACAAACTTAAACGCAATGAACCTCTTCTTTCAGCAATTCATAATATCACCTCTACTATCATAAAATATCTTTAAATAAATTTCCATTATTAATTTTAGAACGAAGATTACAAAGTAGCAAAAGCTAAAAAAGAAAAAATCGAACTTTATCGTGCTGAAACATATAAACAACTTCAAGTACTCAATTTACTTGATATTCTTATTGTAAGTAAAACAAAAATATAAACATTCAATTTCTATCGTTATTCTCTTTGTTTTTTTGTCATACAATCATATTATAAACTAAGCATGTATATATATCCATAGGAGGGTGGTGAAGGTACAGAATTTTTAAAACGTTTACAGGAAAGTGAATATAATGAACAACAACATAATGATCATGAACAAGAGATAGAAATAATCAATATGGTAATTTAAGAATTTTTTTATTTTGCATGATTTATTGTTTCACATTGAATATTATTGATGGGTTTCTTTTTCTTTAATCAACAACACTTGTTTGCATGTGTTTTATTTGTTTTATTCACTTTCAAAAATAATAATACACTTTTTTTCTTTGTTTTGTTTAAATAATTTCTTATCTATATTTTAGCCTTCACGTCCATCAAAACAACAAAATCATGGTAATTATTTATTCTAAACGAAATTTTATTCAAACTTTTTAATTTCTACAGTACGTATACGAAATCCAGTTAGAAATCGTCGTTCATCTGAATCGAATGTTTCCTATGGTGTACAATCAAATTCACATGAAGTTTCAACATCACCAATACAACCTATTACAAATACAATACAACGAACAAATGTTTTAACCAATGGTGCTGGTTCTACTTCACCAGAGTATCAAAAACCACCAACTCCATATGAAGATAAAGTTATTCCTACACTACGTAATCGTAATCGTGGAGATGTTGGACAATTACAAGGAACATCAATAGCAAATAATGATGTTAGTAAAAAAAATAATGATGATACCGAAAGTATATCAGGTATAACAAGTACAACAGCAAATGATGATGCAACAGCTGAATTAAATCAAGCTGAAATGATTGAAGCAAATCAAATGATGGTTGTATTCGATAAAAATTTGGTAAATAATTTCCAAAATATTTACTTAGAACAATCGAAAAGTAATAACGGAGGTATTTTATTTCCGTATAAAAAGTTGCAGGAAATTTTCTCTTTTTATGTAGTAATAGTAAAAATAATGCTCTATTTTTCTGTGATATTTGATCATTATTCAACTGTTACTATAATAATAAAATTTCGACAAAAGATATTTCTTATGATGCATGACAATAATATTAGATCATATTATTTTAGATATGCATTTTTCTATTGTTCTTCTCTTTGGAGATGTTGGTATTTTCTACTCTCACACTCACATTCACATTAGAGCTCCTCACGTCCAACATGTTTGGATTCGGACTCGATCGGATCGTACTTTGATAATCTCAATAAAAATATCTAGTTAGAACTAGTTAGACGTTTCAAAGATACTAGTTTCATACCCACTCATGAATGATTGGAAAATAGTTCACGGCTCGAAAAGTTATTACCCATAGCTGCCTACTTCTCAGAGCAGTTTGATTGGTAAATTGCCTTCGAACAAAAGTTCCTAGCTATGCCATTGCCGAATACTTTTTTCTAGATTTTTGTACTCAGTGACTAGCACATGCTACATATTTCTCAGACGACCAGAGTTTGTCAGGTCTAAAGTATTTGAACTCGCATCCAGTCGATCTCGGGACAAGTCCAACCGATTCTAATCCGCACTCCCACATCCACAAAGCAAGGAACTTCAAAATTTCACAAGACTCTGATAGGCCTCATGGAACTTTAGAAGATTTCATAAGACTTCAACACTGAATCATTCTAGTATTATTATGGTATTAATTGAGGAATGATCAAATATCATCGGAAACAAGACTTCTGATTTGACTATCTCTACATGTACAGAGAAAATTTCCTAAAACTTTCTTTACAGAAATAAAGTATCTTGTCTACTATGTTTGAATTGTCTTATGCATCATAAAATATTTTCTTGAAATTTGTGTATTTGTTTTTTTTTCGTAAGATTGGTAAACTTTATCATCGAACTCATGCGCAACGTGCAGAAGCTTTAGATGAAATT